GGGGTCTCGCTCTTGCTCAGGCTGGTCTTGAACTCCTGATCTTGAGCGATCCACCCACCTCGGCCTCCCAGAGTGCTAGGATTACAGGCGTGAGCCACCGCGCCTGGCCATAACTATTTTTATAGTGGTTCTCAGAAGCAGCGTTGATCTGAATATTTAGTCTGCCCTAATAAGAAGTGTCAGTGCCAGTGTCCAAATTTATAAATGTTTCCCTTTATTTATATTACCATGATTAATAACTGGAGAAATGATTAAGAATGCTTTGTAAGTAGTGGTTTGACTATTCTCACGCAATGAAAGTAAGTAATGAGAATTTGTTAATGTCTTTGTTGTACATTTTACTTAAATAGGAATTTAAGGGATCTCTTTAAAGAGTTAATGATTTTATTTTTGGTAAAAATGACATTATTTTTATTTATTTATTTTTAGGCTGGGCTCATGTGGTTTGTGCCCTATATATTCCAGAGGTACAGTTTGCCAATGTTTCTACAATGGAACCAATTGTTTTACAGTCTGTCCCACATGATCGTTATAATAAGGTACAGTGGAAATTATTTTATTTCTGTTTGACTATAATTTTTTCTGTTTTAAAATTGGGAGATGAGCTGGGTGCAGTGGCTAAAGTCTGCAATCGCAGCACTTTGGGAGGCAGAGGTGGGAGGATTGCTTGAGGCCAGGAATTCAAGACCAGCCTGGGTAATGATGAGATCCCATTTCTACAAAAAATTAGAAAAATCAACCTGGCATAGTGGTATGTGCCTTTAGTCCCAGCTACATGAGGGGCTGAGGCAGGAGGATCGCTTGAGCCCAGGAGTTTGAGGCTGCTGTAAAGCCATGATGATGCCACTGCACTCCAGCCTTGGGTGACAGAGTGAGACTCTGTCTCAAAAAAAACCTGGGAGGTAGAAAGAATTTTTTTCAATTTTAAAACTAAGTGTCCATTAAAAAGTTTAAATTACATATCTCCATCAAATTTTAGAGAGATTTGGAAAAAATAGAATTACTATGTTAAACTGTGACTATTAAAATATATGCTACTAAGGTCACAGGAGTACAAAACAAACAAAATTATGTTACGTTTTATACTAATCTTAGGTATTTAGTATTTTAACATGTACAGTCTGTTTTAATCCTTATAGATTTATCCTTTAAGAACTATGACCCTTTTTACTCTTTCAAGTATCAAGGGTCTGTTAATTTGAATTAATCATTATTTTGTGTAACATTCATTATAATGTATCATACATTCTTTCTTTAAAAAATCTTGTATCAGAATGTTACTTATCTCTCCCCAAAATTATTTATACCCCTAAATATGATTTTTATTGTTGGCCTTTAAAAAAACCTTTAATGTTTGCTCCTTTTTTCTATATTTCTTTTGCTTTAGTACATGTATATTATTTTTTCATTCTCTTCTGCATTTTAGAAGGTTTTTCCATTATCCAGTGTGCCTTTAAGTATATTTTGCCTTTTAATTGAAGGTATATGTTCCCTCTGTGGAAGAAATTGTAGTTTTGAGATTTTAAATATTTATATATTTA